AATTATTAACTATTGTGATTACTATTCTTTATTTCCATATTTTGGACTCCATTTTTAACTGTATGTTTTAATTTACAGCTTCCAGTCTGAAAAACTTAAATAAACTCTAGATGATCATGCAGATGGGACTACTTGACATCTATCTAGGCCCTTAGATGTCTTCATTAACAACTATGAAAATACATTTTTGAGGTCCACTGTGTCTTAATAGTCAAGAGGAATATAGCTTTTGTCAATTATATCACTATAATCAGTATACAAGGCAGCAATTTACAAAATTATTTAGGTACTTTTATAGCCTATTAAGACCATAATCCCCATTGATTGCATTATACTAGAACACTTACATTTGCAAAAATAAAGCAGATTGCATATAATAATAGTTTATGTAACAGGAATTACAAAACAAACGTTGAACAGGTATCTAAGTAAATATGAACTTTCTAAGCCTTCATGTTTCTAAACATTTAAAGCGAACAAGACAATAGAGAACACAAAATTATTTTGGCAAATGTAAAGCTTTTCAAATTTTTATGTAAATTTTACCAGAATGGATCATTATCTTAAGCCTTATTGTTTGAATGAAAGATTCTAACATTATCCTTGCATACTGCATTTTAAATTTTTTCTAAAATGTTTTCCTTAGTACAAAATGTTTGTAATTAGAAATGTTTTACTCAAAAGGCATATTGTTAAGATATATGATCAATTTGCAACAGCAACATGACTTTTAGATCATTATAAATTGCGCCACCTCCACATTTTTTTTATTAGTAGTTTCAAAACTCATGTTATTATATCTGTGTCCCAATATATGTTATATGCAAGCCCTGAACAGCTAGATTAGAACGTATGACACACTTGTGGAAGGCAAAGCCCTTGTGGAGGCCAAATCTTTGATTCTGAACCTTACAAGGCTTTTCTGTAAAAGCAAAGTGTTTTTAAAAAGAGGCACATTTTAAGCAATTTAAGCAAAGTCTAGATAGTGAACTAATAGCAATTTATTACAGAAGGCAAACAAGCCTTTAGCATCTCTTAAAACTATTAGCATTATGCTATGTAAACAAACCCCATACATTGGATTCTTTCAATCTATTCTTTTGTCTTAGGATCAGGTTCCTGATCTTTACTTTCTCAATAAATCTATTTATGGACTTTCAATACTCCTGAGGGATTTGGTGGTATGATGGACCTTTTTAAGGGAAGGATCCTAACTTTAACTGAAGGAATGCTGGTTTCCATTGCCTTCCGTAACTTTGGCAGGGCTCTGGAAGTTGCAGTCTTCCTCAAAGTACAATTTTCAGTTATAATTTCCTTGGTTTCTGTCTACCTATCTCTCATTTCTTCTCTCTTACTCATCCCCCTCCAAGATTTTGATCCCTTTTACTGAAGGGGTTGCGGATAGCCTGATGCTCCATCTTCTATGGAGTCGGATGCTCCATCTCACTATGTAAAAGAGAGCGGGGCATTCATCCTGCCTAGTCAGGAGCCAAATGTCTCATCCTGACTGATCTAAAGGAGACATAAGCATAACAGATTTCACTGTTTATAAAACTATCACTTTTTGATCATCTAAAAGAGAAGGCAAGGGCATGTGAGACATTATCGCACAATAGCAATGGATCATGCAACATGTAGGGATTCCACTGAATACCATGATATAGCCAGAGAAATTAGCACTTTTCTTCAGCAGCTAGTTCCAGAGGACCAGTACACCAGCCAGTTATTTGAGCTTATGGAAGAGTCTGACATCGAACTGATCTATGAACATAGATCTTGTAACACAAAAGACACCTTTGCAGAGCTGTTATCAATGTACACATTTTGTTTTGATAAGGGCACAGGTTCCACCTTGTGCTGTTGTTAGAATATCTAGGGCCAGTTTGTAGAATTGCTTTTCTCATCATTCTCCTCCTCTACATCCCTCCCAGCATTTCCTGACCTCCGCCCCAGCCCCCTACTTGTTCAGTTGTTGTGAACTTGCCCTCTGCCCAAGGTCAGCCTCACATCTCTCATCCCTGGCCCCTTTTTGCTTTTGGCAGGAAATGTCCACTGGAGGGTGCACAAGCTCCTTCCTGAGAGCATGAGACTCCCGTCATCCCTGAGACAAAGCATCTGCTGTCTCTGCCCAAACCCAGTCTTCAGACAGTGTCCTAGTTACTTTTCTCATTGCTGAGACAAAATACCCAACACCCAAGTTAAAGGAGGAAAGGTTTATTTGGCTCACAGTTTGTAGAAGTTTCAGTCCATCATCGGCTGGCTCCAAGGTTGAGTGACTTAGTAGAGGGACAACTGTTCATGGCTGCAGAAGACAGCAAAAGCAAACAAGCAAGCAAGTAAGCAGGGACAAGACTTTTTCTACCCCTTATATTGTATGCTGGCTACCCGCCCTAGGGCAGGTGTAGCACTCACACCATTAATCTTAGCCAGAACTATGCCAAACTAGTCAGTGCAATGACTTAAAATTACACACTCTTAATCTCAGCATCACGTACTCTGGATTCAGCCACCTGTGAAAAAACCCCATGACTGTAGGCATGAGGCTATAGGGGGGACATCTAGACACAAACCATGACACATAGCCTTCAAATTCCTCAGGCGGAAACCTCTGGGGCAGGCACTATGGACCCAAGGAAGAACCTTACAAGGAATAAAGAAAATTTTAAGCATTGACATCTTCAGTTTATTTGAAGCAATCCAGTTTCAAAAACTTTAAGTTATGGCAGTCACAGAAAAAACAGGGACTAGTCAGAAACAATAAAAAAATGGTCAGGAGTACTACACTTTTAAAATTTGTTTTTAACGCTGTCATGGCTTTATTCAACACAGAGTTGCACAAAACTATTAACTTCAAAGTTTTAAGGGGAGGTTCTTTAGGAATTGAACACATTATATACATACTGCCATACAAAGAGCATTAAAATAGGGCCCAAAACGTCTACAAAATATAACATTCACCCTTACTTCTTTGCATGAAAATACCACCCACAAAGCTATAGTTTATAAGTCTTTAACAGTTATCTGGAGGCTCTAAGTGTTGTTGTCAAACCAAAGAACTCTAATTATGATTGCACAATGAAATGATTGATAAGACAGTCAATATATAGATTTAATTTTAAAAATAAGTATTTTGTACTTATTGATGGCATAGTATGCAATGAGAATGCTGAGGGATTCCAATTGTTCAATTAGGAGAAATATTCTAGTCTTCTGGAGATTCCAGGCCCTCACTAAATTGATCCTCAGTGTTTTCAGCCGTTTGCAACTTCTCTAGTTTCTCCACAAATAACTTCATAATTTTTACTCTAAAACTCCAAGTCCCATTTCTCTTATGTCTGGCGTTTGCGTGCAGATATCTCTCTAAGTGACGTTTCCTCCTTTTCTTCATAGCGCAGTGCTTTTAAAATGTGTTTCATTTTCTCACCATCATGTTTCAGATGTGGTCAACAGTGTTGTTAGTAGTGTCAGTGTCTTCAGTTTCTCTTTGTGTGTTATATACCAAAGAACGTACTCTGTCAGATTTTCACTTTTAGGATTTTTATTGATTGGACTTTATTTTATACCTCTTTGCAGCACAGATGACACTGTGACCAGTGTCCTCGTGTCTGTCCTGGTGCACATGAACGTGTTTTCCTCCAGGGTGTATACTGAGGGGTCAGTGACAGGGTCTCTTCCTTTTTAGTACAGGATTCCCACCAACTCCCCATGGGAAATGTGTGTGTCTCAGGGCACCATTTTGGATTTAACTGTTAGATGTTGGAATCTGATTTTTGATTACCACCTGTTGGCTGGGCATAATGATTACATTCATTGTGGGCATCTGTACAGGTACCTTATGCATATTAATTCTTTTTTGTCCCCCACCCATCAGATGTCTACCTGCTCCTTCCACGTCTGGGCCCCTTCCCATTTTCAAGCGCTCTATTTCTATTATCTTACATTCCTTTCCCCCATGCCCTTAGCCTCCCCTCCTTCCTGGAATCTGATTTCTGCCATTTGTTGTGTTACTGAGACCAGATTTTGTGTAGGAACCTAAGAAATCAACTCAACATCATGCACTGAGGAATAGGGTGACTTCAAAGAAAGTGGGTCCATTACAGGAAAGTGCAGCAGAGAGTGATGTGCTCAGTACAGATGTGCTCAGGGCTGGTGGAGGACGGGGCCATCCAAGAAAAGCCATTCAATGGAGAGAGAGTTCTTTGCACAGACCGCTACAGACTCCCCTGCACCCAACCTTGTCACCTCCCCCAGGCCTCCCAGTGGATGGGGCCCCAACTTGAATCCAGGACTTTCTCCTGGAACCGCCTTGGCATGTAGGGTTTCTGTCCAAGGCCCAGCCACTGCGGGCACTTGTGGGAGACCCAGGCTGTGCTCTCTGGAGAAAGGAAGCTCCCTGCCCCCGTCCTACCCTGACCTCTCCTTCACCCTATTCACTGAGATGCGCAGAGCTGGCTACATTTAAACAGATGTTCCCTTAATTTGCTAAAAGAATGTTCCTGAGTCTGGCTGAGGCACCAGTTAACTGCAAAGCAGCAACATGTGTGTGAGGACAGCCTCTGTGTTAATGGCTGGAATGGAGGCTCCAGCAAGAGCCTGTGAGATTCCAGGGTAAGGCATGAGATAACATCTCAGCTGAGGCCTTGGGACTCAGAAAGAATTATGCCTTCCTGATAGTGAAGGTGCCAGCCTTGCATACATCAGACTGTCCCTGTATTGCTATTTTGAGGCCTCATGCCTGGTTCAGAATTTCTCTGTTTCTCCTTATGGCCAGGCCTGTAAAGTTTTTTCCCTAGCACTCTGCCAGGACCCCCACCTACTTCCCTGACTGATACCAATGCAAGCCATGAGCTTTTCAGCAGAAGGCCTTTTATTCCACAGAGAACCTTGGGTCATCCCAGAGTTCCTCAATGGCAGAATTTTCTCTCTTTCTCTTTGTTTTGCATCCACGTTCCGTATTGCTGGGTGGAATACACTGATAACCTACACGGGGGTTTCGGTAAGCTCTGGTTGCTAGTTCTTCTGTTCATCTCCCGGCTGCATCTTGAGTCCTTCTCAGACTGTGCTGAGCCTGGAAGAGCAGAATCCCCAGGGCCACCAGGACCAGGCCAGCCAGGCCCATGCGGATGAGATTCTCCACTGCGCAGTCCTGAGGCTGTGGGGCTGTGGACAGGGACAAATAAGTCAGAGAGGTCAGGAAAGACCAGAATCTCCTCTGGATCCCTGCATGTCCGCCTGCTCTCCTGGACATGACTTGACCCCCTTCGTCCAGCCCCATAACTGAGAATTCTCCTTCCTCATCTGTCTTGGGCTCTGAATCGTTCTGGGATGGGGTAATGGTCTCAACTTCTCCTGAGAACCAAGGAAGATGAATGGGACATGTGAAGCTTTGATCACATGTGAGCCTTTTTCCTGGCCCCACATCCTTGTGTCTTAATATCATGACAACATGATGCAGACCCTGAGTGAGCCCTTGCATGCTACAGCAGTGTTGCCTTTGGTTCTTTAGATTCTCCAGCCTCACTTGCTGCATGAGTGCAGCACTTGCTTCTGAGATCCTTTGCACCAAAGTTTGGTTGAGTGCAAAAAGCCTACGATTCATGACAGAAGTGATCTCCAATTCATAAATAGTCAGGCCTGTGAGCTCTGTGTTCAGTGTGGGACACAGGATACTGTGAGTGAACTTCCCTGGACAGGAGTTTCCTGATCCATCAGCTGAGGACCCAGGGTCCAGGGGCAAAGGCCGGTCCTCAGGCACCAGAGCATCAGGAGTACAAGGGGTGAAGTCGGGGGAGGCCCCCTTCACCACACAGGCAGGTCTTCTGCTGCTTTATCCTCCTTGTAACTTCTGTTAACACATCACCATGCCACTGGAAACACCTACAGTGAGATGTGCGTGCACACACACACACAGATACACATGTGTACAAGTATATGCGTGTTCTGCATGGCAGTAGCATCAGTGCTTCATGGAAACTTTTCAGAAGGAAAATCTACGTTGAATGACCAGTAATAGACAAGGAAAATGTATAGCTGGAACAGCATTGAAAATATGGATGAACAGCTGTAGATAACAAATAAATATATGAAAAATTATCCATTTGTGCATATTTAGATTATGGTGCATATATGTATGACCACTTACATACAAATTTGAAGCAAGAACATGGGTGTTCAATTGAGATTTTAAGAAATAGAATTTCTATTTTAGCGTACTTGACACAAATTTTATCAATAATCAGAACAAATTGGTTGAAAGTTTTTGGACCTGGGACAATAAAATATTAGTATGGAATAAAAGGATTATACCTAAATTAATATCTTTTCTGTTTACACTGTTATTGTTCAGAACAAATAAATCAAATAATTTACTCATAAATAATAAAATCAGTTAACCAATATTAAAAATGCCTAAAAATTTTAATAATTATTTAACTAGAACTTTGAAATATTTGCAAAGATCATTAATAAAACTCAATTTAAACATCTTAGATAAGATGTGATATTTACAAGGTAGTCTGTACAATTGATATATGAATATGATATAGTCCCATAAAAACCAATGCAATTCTTTATATTTAAAGTATAAATCCATAGGTCTGTAAATATATTTCCACAGAAAAGTAACGCTGCACATTTCCAAAAAGAGAGCAACAGCACATGAGTGTAAACAGAAAATGTGCAATGAATCAAACAGGACTGCACAGCACACCTTCTGCGTGGGGACTCTCAGTGACCCAGGGAGCAGTGCGTGGTCTCCCAGCATACTCTTCTGCCTCCACTGCGACAGCCACTTTGCTTCTCAGTGGACAGGAAATGCCCTCATCTACCACAACTGAGCAGCATTCTGCAGACTCCTCACCACAGCTGCCCCTGCTGAGAACTGGGGTGGAGGTGGTCAGAGGTTGGGGTTATTATAGCACATGCTGCACAGATGAAATTTTCTGAGAAGAACCTTGATTCTCTGTTTCAGGAATGACTGACAGTGGGGAGGGGGAGGCCCAGGAGACAGGAAGTGAGCCGGCAAGGGACGGCCCAATGGTGCACACCGTCACTGCTCCAGGACCATTGGGCAAGAGCAGGATTTCACATGTGTGAGCAAAACTTATCCACAGGTCTAGGAAGAAGGGATCCTTAGCCGCATATCTGAGTCGAGGAAATGGGTGCTTCAGGAGTTTAGTGACCAGAACTTGCAGGGCCACGTGTTGAGCCCCAGGGTCTGACCAGATTTTCCTTTCAGGACTGTGCCACCACCCCTCACTAGGGCTCTGCTGGCTCCACTGGAGCTGGACCTGAGCAGGGCCTGGAGACACAGAGTGGACAAGAGCAGGTATGCACTTCTCCTACCTGTGAGCATGATGTCCAAGACGTCTCTGTGTGAGAGCACAAAAAGAGGCTGTGGGTGTCTGGTGTGGAACAGCTGTAGGTCCACTTGTGCACCGTGGTCACAGGGTCTCACTGAGCGTGTTGGAAAGCCTTGCTGACATTTCAGGACTGAGGGGCTCCTCTGTTTGGGTAGATTGAATACCATGACATTGAGAAAATATGGGACATAGCTCCTCAGAGCGCTGAGGCTTTGCAAGGATGACCAAGAGGGCTTATTATGAGCACCTAGGAGAGAAGGAGGTGAGAACATTAGAGAGAAAGGTGTGGGCCTCAGCTCCCCTCACATCCCTGAGGGACTCTCCCTCCTTCATATTCTTCGAAGGTTTATCTTCCAAACCGGAGTCCTTTCATGCCCAGGGCTACCGGATACTAGGTCAGTGTCAACACCTCCCGAGAGTGGGCAGCATGGTTCTCCCTAGAGTAACAATTTTGTTTAGAATATTAAAGTCCGAGTCATCTTCATTAAAGTATACTATATCATTATTAATACATGCATGAGAGTGTAGGGTAAAATCTACCAGGTTCACAGCAAGTAAGAAATTAACAGATGAGTGGATAAAAAACGTGCTATATATACACGGTGGAGTTCTATAAGGAAGGACAGGCAGGAGTCATTTATGGATAATTCAATGTTAAGTGAAATACACCAGACTCATTCGCTTAAATATTGCATGGTTTTCCTCATATGAGGAATCCAAAATATAAATAAAAAACAAAACAAAAGATAGGTAAATAGGAAGTAGGGGGCCAGATCTTTTTCAAACGGGAAGGACAAAAAGGTGTAGGGAGAGTGGAGGGAGAGTAAATGAAAAATGGAATTGAGCTGTGTTCTGTCCACGGAGCACCTCCTCAGAAAGGAATGCAATCATTATGTAACGTAAACACGTACAAATAAAAAGTAAAAACGGAAGAAATCAAATGGAAAAAAACAATTCCCATTCACACGGATGTACTATGTGGTCTGGGAGGTCACTGCTTGCTGACCGGTCCCCCTGGGACTTCGCAGCATGAAGCCTTCCACGGTGCTCATTGGCGAGGTGCAGAACGAGAGAGGCAGCTTCCGGTCTGTGCTGCGCGCACTGGGTGGACGTGGGCTTCCTCCTCGCAGAGGCCATTCCAGCTCAACCCGGAAGGCCCAGACTCTGAGCATCACAGGCTCCTTCAGAAGGCTAAGGAAGGCCAGGTAGATGTCTAGGTAATGTCTGCAGAACAGGGAGCCCTGGGGTTGCATGGGACCTCCTTCAGTGCTGCCACTGGAGTCCCCCATGCTGTCTGCCTCAGCCCAACCCCATTCAACTTGAAAGCACTTTGTGTGTGGTGAGCACAGCACCCTGGGGTGGGGAGGACTCACCACTGTGCATGGAGCATCTGCCTGTCAGATCCTGGAGGGAAACCACACCACAGACAGCCCTGCCCCACGGGGACCGTGCCCTCTAAGACTGTGCCTGGTCTTGGTGTCGGTCTTGGAAGCTCAGCCCGGGCTTGAACGGCTTATGAACTCAGGCTCCCCAGGGCTCCCTCCTCCAGCCTGGGCTCTGGAGATGCCGAGTCTCTGGGATGGGATTTTCCACCCTGATCCTCTGCAGCCCTCCCTTCTAGAACCTTCCAAGATGCAGAAAGAGAAGAATTTGGGGCCTATCACTTGTTCTGTGGGGCAAGACTAGAAGCCGTCCAAACCTGGCAAGTGAAAATGGTGTGGTTGCCATGGCCGAATGTCACACTCTGCCAATCGCTGTGGTGCCAACCGCACAGGAAGCAAGCAGCTTCTTCTCATCCTAAGGCAGAGGGCAATGTGCTGTTGAAACCTTGTAGGCCCCACTGGGCACCATTGCTGAGCAACTGCATGAGTCTACACTAGAATTTAATGCTGCTACGTCCCAACTCTATAAATATCTTCTAATACATCTCACTGCCATTTGTGACATCTGTGTGTGATTCACTTCGTACTGTTCAGTGGTCTACTGCCACATGAACATATTGATCAGTACTGAAATGCTGATTGTGTGTAAATAAAATGACTGCTCTGTGTTCATTTCACCTTCTTCAGAAGCTTCAATTTAGTAGACGATAGGTTTTCTGGACCTTCTGGATTCATTGTGTCCTGGTTCATGTTTTCTTCCAGAAATTGTGTCATCACCTTATGTTTGGCTTGTTCTCTGGTCCTCTCTTTAATATATTTCTGGAGTATGAACCAAGCATTTGTTCTATTTCCCACTATAACTTGAAGTTTTTCAATTTTTTTTTATTAATACATGTTAGCAGTACATAACGATTCCATTATCATGGGGACTGGCACATGTACCGACATAGTTAATTCCTTTATCATTCTTCTTCCCCTGCCCTCCCTTCCCTTCCCACCATCTCTTGATCCCCTTGACAATGAGAAAGTTTTATCTCCCTACTTCCTATTATCTATCTTCTATTTCACAATTTATGTGTATGTTGGATTTCTCACTGAAGAGAAATACACAGCACCCTCAGCCTGGGGTGAGGAGAATCAGCGCCTGGGTGTGCTGTGTATGGGACGCAGACAGAGTCCTGGAGGGGCGTCCACACGGAGAGGACCCAGCCATGCAGACACCTGGGGTTGAGTTTTAGCTGAGGCAGCTCAGCTTGGGCCCCGACAGTGAAGGCAGCCAGCTCCTCAAGGGATCCCTGCTCCACTCTGGGTTCTGGAGGTGCCATATCTTCAGGATGGAAATTTTCTCCATAACTCTGCTGCCTTCTCGGCCAGGACTTACCAGGATGCAGTGGGGAGGAGGGGTTGGCTGTATATTGCTTTTTCCGTAGGACAGGATGCGGGAGCTAAGCAAAGTGTGGAAATGCATAGGACGTGGTGTCCGTGTCTCAGTTCACAAGCTTCCAAAGTCCGTGCTCGCTGACCACACAGCAAGCAGCCAGCTTTTCTGTACCTTAACGCTGAGGGCGGGTGCTGTGGGAAACTTTCAGACGAGGCCTAGAGTTCA